AGGAGACTCGCTTGAGCCCAGGAGTTGGAGGTTGCTGTGAGCGTGATGCCATGGCACTCTACCCAGGGGGACAGCTTGAGGCTCTTTCTCAAAAAAAAAAAAAAAAATACTAAGCCTATTATGAGCCAGAGCTAGAGAAAAGGGGGAAGGGGACAAGAGAAAGAATCTCAAGAAAGTGAGTACGGAAAGAACATAAACTTCCATCAATAGAGGAGTAGTTAAATAACTATTGATGGATTTTACTTCATATGATAGAGAATTAAGAATTTAAAATAATGAAATCTCTCAAAAGGCTCTACATAGTTATTGCAAGCCCCAACAATCCTAGGTATAGACTCAAGAGAAATCAAAAACATAATGTACATGTGAAAACTTACACATGAATGTTCATAGCAACATTACTTATAACCAAAAGTGCAAACAATCCAAATGCCCAACAACCGACAAACGCATAAATAAAATCTAGTACATCCACAGTGGAACATTTGGCAATAAAAAGAAATAAAGTTCTGGGCAGTGCCTATGGCTCAAAAGGGTGGTGTGCTGGCCCCATATGCCAGAGGTGGCAGGTTCAAACCCAGCCCCGGCCAAACAACAAAGTAAATTAAAAAAAAAAAAAAAAGTTCTGACACACAACACGACATGGCATTATGCTAAGTAAAAGAAGCCAGACACTAAGGCCACATGTTACCTAATTCCACTGATATGAAATGTCCAGAATAGATAAATCCACAGAGACAGTAGATTAGTAGGTGTGGGGGGCTGGTGGGAATAAGGGATAGGGAATGATTGCTAATGAATATGAAGTTTCTTTTAAGGGTGAGGAAAATATTCTAGAATTGCACAACCTTGTGAATAGAAAAAACTATTTAATGGTGTACTTCAAAAGGGTGAATTTTACATGTAAATTACATCTCAGTGAAAAAACGATATATATCAGTGCATATAGAATTTGTGAGATATGGAATAATCTCCCAAAGACCAAAATTACATGAAAACAAACTTTGTTTAGAATATAACTGTATTTATGTGCACACAAATTTAACACAGTTGACCCTTGAACAACACTGGTTTGACTGTACATGTTCACTTACATGTGAATTGTCTTTGCCCTCTGCCACCCCTGACACTGAAAGACCAACTCAACTTGAAGACACTGAGGATGAAGACCTTTACAAAGATCCATTTCTACTCAGTAATAGTAGATGGATGGTGAATATATTTTATCTTCTTTATGATTTTCTTTACAACATTTTTTTCTCCAGCTTCCTTTATTAGGAGAATACAGTATAACATATGTGAGAATACATACAGCATACAAAATGTGTATAAACTATCTATCCGTATCTATGTTATCAGTAAGGCTTTTGGTCAATAGTAGGCTATTAGAAGTTAAGTTCTAGGGGATCAAAAATTATATGAGAATATTTTTTTTTGAGACAGAGTCTCACTTTGTCACCCTTGGTAGAGTGCTGTGGTGTCACAGCTCACAGCAACCTCAAACTCTTGGGCTCAACAATTCTCTTGCCTCAGCCTCCTAAGTAGCTGGGACTACAGGTGCCTGACACAACACCCAGCTATTTTTAGAGATAAGGTCTTGCTCTGGCTCAGGCTGCTCTCGAACCCATGAGCTCAGGCAATCCACCCGCCTTGGCCTCCCAAGTGCTAGGATTACAGGTGTGAATCACCGCACCCAGCCCCTATATAAGAATTTTTGACTTCATGGAAGGTTGATGCCCCTAACTCTTGTATTGTTGAAGGATCAGCTGTGTATATATATACAGCGTATATATACATTTCATATCAATGGAATTATATGGACATGTGCTTGTATAATAATCAGAAGGCTTGGGGTGGTGCCTGTGGCTCAAAGGAGTGGGGTGCCAGCCCCATATACTGGAGTTGGTGGGTTCAAACCCAGCCCTGGCCAAAAAATAAAAAAATAAAATAATAATCAGAAGGCTCCACAAGAATACATAGGAAATTATAAACAGTGGTTACCTCTGAGAAGACAGTTAAGAAACAAAAGAGCAAAGAAGAATATTCATGTTTTACTCAGGATATTTCTATACAATATTATAATGATTATATGGGTATAATGGTCTTGGATTTAAAAACCTTCCAAGTACTTAAGGAGGCAGTCTAGCGACTAACAAAAGCAAATGAGATCGTGACAAATGTTAGAAAAGAAACAAAATGTTTTGCGAGAATAAAGGAAAACATGACTGATAGGGCCTGGAGAATTCAGGAAAGTGATGCCTTTGGGGAGGTGACATGTGAGCTGAGTAACTGGTTCTGGGCACTTCTTTAATAGAACTTTACCCTGAGGCTGCTCAGTTCTATTTTTTTTTTTTTTTTTTTTGAGACAGAGCCTCAAGCTGTCCCCCTGGGCAGAGTGCCGTGGCATCACAGCTCACAGCAACCTCCAACTCCTGGGCTCAAGCGAGTCTCCTGCCTCCGCCTCCCAAGTAGCTGGGACCACAGGCCCCCGCCACAGCGCCCGGCCATTTTTTGGTTGCAGCTGTCATTGTTGCTTTGGCGGGTCCGGGCTGGGGATTCGAACCCGCCACCTTAGGTGTAGGTGGCTGGCGCCTTAGCCGGTTGAGCTATAGGTGCCGAGCCTCAGTTCTATTCTTTATAGAGAAGCTGACTGCTAATCCCGAGTGCTGAAGCACGAAGATTAAATTCAACAAAATTTACGTACCTGCCATAAAGAATGGATACTAGACATGGCTTTTAAAACTTTCCTTAGATAAGAAATCTGTAAAGTAAAATAAAATTAAAAAGTCTTAAAGACCAGTAAAATGGGAAATTTTGACACAAAATACTGGATTCTTAAAGTTTCAAAAGGACTATCATTAAAAAATTTGTCTTCCATGAGAACTGCCACAGAAGTTCACTTATAAGTTCATAAATATCAAAAAAGGCCAGGGAACCTTCTATTTTTTTTCCCAGTGAAATTAATGTCATTTTGAGTTTATACTCTCTGGCCTAACACCAAGTTCTTTAAGTGTGGCACGAACCCAGAGAAAGTGAACGTGCTTTCAGCACACATCTGCTCAGTAACAAGTATCAATGCAAAATGTTTAGGAGATACAGTGCAAAAGCTTTAAAATATAAGTCTGGGGCACTGAGACTTACCATTTTGAAGCCAAGAAGCTTTTGTAAGAGTCCATTCCACAGCTGTAGGTCATAGATTTTATATTCTAAACAAAGCTCAGTCACTAATCTTACCGCCTAAAAAAAAAAAAAAAAAAAATAGGAAAGAAAAACGACAATGCATCAAGATATCAGTAAATCAAACTACCTTTGGGAAAGGTAGGGTAACTTAATACAAAATATGCTTATAATCCAAAAATGTCTTTTGACACCTTCCTTCTTTCTTTTTAACATTTTTTTGTAGAGATAGAATCTCACTATGCTGCCTAGGCTGGTTTCCAACTACTGAGCTCAAGTGATCTTCCCATGTTTCTCCCTCCCAAAGTGCTAGGATTATAGGTTTGAGCCACTGTGCTCAGCCGACCTCCATTTTTCTTATGAAAGAAACACAAAGAGTTTCTTCTTTTACTTGCTGTAACAGGTCATCATGTTTTGTTGTCACAAAAACATCTCAGACTTCGCCCCTTTTAAGAACAGTTTGCTTATTTGCTCATTTGCTCCACACCCTTCCTGCCCTGGGCTCCAAATGCCTCAAAGAGTTCTCACAGGCAGCTAGGAAAAAGGATACCCTCTCTCTACAGGGACAGAGGTTTTTTTCTCCCTGTCTAGACGGGGACAGGTGTGCCATGAGAGGGATTATAAAAGTGCTCTCTTGTTGGCAAACATGACTAGCCCCAGGGCTTTGAGGAAGAACAGACAGGGCACCTTCCAAGTGGCTGTACCCATCCACATCCCAGGGCAGGAGAGTAGAAAAGGTTTCAGAGTGGTGGACTTGATTGGTTTAAAGAATTTCTCTGGTTTTGTCCTCCAGGAATCTGAGACAATTCGGGGAACTGAGGAAACCCATCAGCATGAAGGAAAGGGTTGTACCACCTGAATGACTTGGTGAACCTACCATGGCCTCGTGACTGTGGTTCTTCCACAGACCCTTAATCATTCCTTCTTTAGGACTGCTGCAGAATAGTTCATATGTGATGGGGATATTCAAAGCCTCAAATAATGCCAGAAAGGTTAGACATTTCAAATCTGATCTGGAAAACAGAGGTGTTTAGACTAATCATTCTCATGGGCCACATTTACATTTAAAATACAAGCCACGGTATGCAAATATTAGGCTGGTATTTATTTATTTTTTGAGACAGAGTCTCATTATTTCACCCTTGATAGAGTGCTGTGGTATCACAGCTCACAGCAACATCAAACTCTTGGACTCAAGCAATTCTCTTGCTCAGCCTCCCAAGTAGCTGAGATTACAGGCAATCGCCACAATGCCCGGCTATTTTTTGTTGCAGTTGTCATCATTGTTGTTTAGCAGGCCAGAGCTAGGCTTTAACCTACCACCTTCTATGTACGTGGCCAGTAGCCTCCCTACTCACTGACCTACAGGCGCTGCCACTAATTTGTTTTTAAATGTCCATTTTGGGATTCTAAATATATTCACTGAATACAGCACCAGACAGAAGTTTGAGCAAGATATAGAAAACATTCAGTTTCTAAATGTCTCCTAGAAATGATGTAAACATGTTCTCAAAGGCCCATTCCCCCTTTACCAAAATGCCAAGGATATCAAAGGCAATAGCACTACATTCACATAGCTACCCTAATGCAGTCTTCTGAAATAAGGGGCTTAAAAGTTATAGTTTCAAAAAATAATGTTTCCTATTTATTATTAAATTTCAGATTAATATGAGGGTACAAAAAATTAGTTCTGTTTCTTATTTTTTTTTTGTTTGTTTTATTTTGAGACAGAGTTTTATTATGTCGCCCTTGGCAGAGTGCCATGGAGTCACAGCAACCTCAAACTCTTGGACTCAAGTGATTCTCTTGCCTCCGCCTCCCAAGTAGCTGGGAGCACAGGGGCCCGCCACCACGCCTGGCTATTTTTGTTGTTGTTGTTGTTGTTATTGTTCTTTTAGCTGGCCCGGGCCAGTTTCGAACCCCCCAGCCCCAGTGTATGTGGCTGGCACCCTACCCACTGAACTACAGGCACCGAGCCTGTTTCTTATTTCCTTTTTTTTTTTGAGATAGAGTCTTACTATGTTGCCTTTGGTAGAGTGCTGTGGCATCACAGCTCATAGCAGCCTCAAACACTTGGGCTTAAGTGATTCTCTTACCTCAGCCTCCCAAGTAGCTGGGACTACAGGCCCTCTCCACAATATCCAGCTATTTTTTTTTTTTTCTTTTTTTGAGACAGAGCCTCAAGCTGTCCTCCTGGGTAGAGTACTGTGGCATCATAGCTCACAGCAACCTCCAACTCCTGGGCTCAAGTGAGTCTTCTGTCTCCACCTCCCAAGTAGCTGGGACCGCAGGCACCTGCTACAATGTCCAGCTATTTTTTGGTTGCAGCCGTTATTGTTGTTTGGCAGGCCCGGGCTGGATTCGAACCCACCACCTTAGGTGTATGTGGCTGGCGCTTTAGCCACTTGAGCCACAGGCACCGAGCTGACACACCTAGCTATTTTTCTGTTGTAGGCGTCATTGTTGCTTAGCTGACCTGGGCTGGGTTTGATCCCGCCAACCTTGGTGTATGTAGCTAGCGCCCTAACCAATGTGCCACAAGTGCCGAGCTGTGTTTCTTATTTCTTAATATAACAAAAAATATTCTACTTACTTCACTTCTTCGATTTGTTTTTTAAAGAGAGATTCTATAGTTTTCTTGTCAGCCAAATACAGGAGACACCGAAGAGCACGTGTTCTGTGAGCGAATGTTAACTGATGCATACCTAATGTCTGGAAAACCAAGACAGGATTGGAGAGTTGCAGACTTGCATGTTGGTGGGTAAACAAGTTTCAGCTTAGGTAACATAAACAACATAATTCTTTTTTTTTTTTCACCCTTCTCTGTGCCCCAGAGGAACATGAGGTTAGGAATCTGACCTTAATGAACTGTATCAATGAGCTGTGGTCTTCTGGCTTAGGGTTCAGCCAGGTTGGTGATTAGGAGATGAGAAGGCAGGAGGAGTAGGAATACATGTTCTTATTTTATTTTATTGTTTTTTGAGACAGAGCCTCAAGCTGTCGCCCTGGGTAGTAGAGTGCCATGGCATCATAGCTCACAGCAACCTCCAACTCCTAGGCTCAAGTGATTCTCCTGCTTCAGCCTCCCAAGTAGCTGGGACTACAGGTGCCTGCCACAACACCCGGCTATTTTTTGGTTGCAGCCATCATTGTTGTTTTGGTGGGCCTCGGCTGGATTCGAACCTGCCAGCTCAGGTGTACATGGCTGATGCCTTAGCCCAGGCGTCCTCAAACTATGGCTCATGGGCCACATGCAGCCTGCCTAGGACATTTATCCTGCCTGCCGGGTGTTTTTGCTGCCGCTGCCTGTCCTGCTTAGCAGCCAGCTTGTCCTAGGGCCTGCAGTCCGGCCCTCCAACAGTCTGAGGGACAGTGAACTGGCCCCCTGTTTAAAACATGTGAGGACCCCTGCTAGCCGCTTGAGCCATAGGCACCAAGCCAACAACATAATTCTTAAAAAATTAAAGTTGTGCCAGGTGCCTGTAATTCTAGCATTCTGGGAGGCAGAGATGGGTGGATCGCTTATGCTCAGGAGTTCGAGACTAGCCTGAGCAAGAGCGAGACCATGTCTCTAAAAACATAGCTGGGTATTGTGGCAGGCATCTATAGTCCCTGCTACTTGGGAGGCTGAGGTAGAGGGCTCACTTGAGCCCAAGAGTTTGAAGTTGCTGTGAGCTATGACATCACAACACTCTACTGGGGGTAAGAAAGTGAGACTATGTCTCAAAAAAGAAAAAAATTAAAGTCAATCTTTTCCTTTAAGAAATGCACTGTAGGCTCAGCACCTGTGGCTCAAGTGGCTAAGGCGCCAGCCACATACACCTAAGATGGTGGGTCCGAATCCAGCCCCGGCTGGCCAAAAAAAACAACAATGATGGCTGCAACCAAAAAAATAGCTAGGTGTTGTGGTGGGTGACTGTGGTCCTAGCTACTTGGGAGGCTGAGGCAGAAGACTCGCCTGAGCCCAGTAGTTGAAGGTTACTGTGAGCTGTGATGCCACAGCACTCTACCCAGGGGGATAGCTTGAGGCTCTGTCTCAAAAAAAAAAAAAAAAAAAAAAAAGAAATGCATTGTATAATATGGCTCTTCTCAACATGTGGCTCATAGACCTGTGGAGGGGCAGTCCTGAGACTCAGGAATGAAAGGGTCAAAACTATTTTCATAATGATACTAAGATGTCGTTCAGCTTTTACACAGTGTTGATATTGCACTGATGGTGCAAAAGCAATGGTTGGTAAAACTGATTGTAGAATTAAGGCAGAGGGCTCCTCCAACTCTTATACTAGTCATTGTTAAGCACAAGCACGCACTGACAGTATTGAAAACCACAGATGACTTTCACACTTAAGAGTGTCCTTTTTTTTTGAGACAGAGTCTCAAGCTGTCGCCCTAGGTAGAGTACCCTGGTGTCACAGCTCATAGCAACCTCAAACTCTTGGGTTTAAATGGTTCTCTTGCCTCAGTCTCCTAAGTAGCTGGGACTATAGCTGCCCACCAAAATGCCCAGTTATGTTTTGGTTGTAGCTGTCATTGTAGTTTGGCAGGCCCGGGCTGGATTAGAACCCACCAGCTCTGGTGTATGTGGCTGGCGCCTTAGCTGCTTGAGCTACAGGCACCAATCGCAGGCTGGTCTTAAACTCCTGGCCTCAAGCAATCCTCTTGCTTCAGCCTCCCAAGTGCTAGGATTATAGACATGAGCCACTGCTCCCAACCAATTACATGTTAATGTGAATCAATTAAAATGTACTCATTAATATCTATGTGGCAAAATGGGAAATATACAAAAAGCATACTATAAGAAAAAGTACTTATATAGCTGAGCTGTGAGATACATTAGCCACTTTGCATTAAATACCATTTTCATTTGAAAGAGTGACTAAAAGACAAACAAATATGCAAAAAGTGGGGGGACTATTTTTCCTTTCTGTCATGGACCTATAGTCAGCATCTCAGACTTCCTCCCTTTCTTCCTATTCTACAAGAACTACTTGCCTACTGGCTCCACATCCTTCCCCTCCCTATGCTCCAACTGCCTCAGAGGATATTTCTATATGCAAAAACCTGAAGGTCACAATGCTATGGGGGAAAACTGCAAGTTGAGTCTAACTGAAGTTGGGGGGCAGAGAGGGTGGTCTGATAAGAGCAAGTAGCTGAATTATACCAGGTTGTGAGGCCACAGCAGAGGCTTTTCCTGTGGTCAGTTTGTTTGGCCCCCTTTTATCAGGAATATTATTAACTGACAAGGGAGGTAATAAGAGTAAATAAGATAACTTATGGGAGCTGTCAACAAGTGCACTGGCAGATGTTACTAAAGCCGGTGTTAAATGGAGCATGGTGGACAGCATAATCCTTGTTTATAAAGATAGATGGACTTTGAATAATAATGTGCACATCATTTGAATCATATGTGCATGAAATCAAGCATGGTAAATACACAGGAAAAAGTGTTAAGCTGAAATACACAAAAGAGTTTTGATTAAGTTTCTAGAGCTTACGGTTGTTGCTGATGTTGCAAATACAAATAGCATTCTTGAACTATAATCAATCGGACGGGACAGAAGGAGATACTGGACTCTGGAAAAAAATTTAATTACATTTATTTAATTTAGTGATAGATTACCAAACCAATAGACTTATGTTTTTGTCCACAGAAAGTCATTAGACATCCCAAATGAAGGCTGGAAGTATTATGGGTCAATGACATTTTTGCTTTCCTCTTTAAAGGAGGAAAATAAATACAATAAAAGCAGGTCTATAAAAAATGACAATAATAATAAAAATAAAACAGGTCTCAGCCTCCTCGTCTATGATAGAGCTAGGTAATCTGTGATCATTTAAATTCTCCTTATTTAATAAATTAACACATACCATAGCATAAAACCTTTGTATACTTCACACATAAAATTTTGTGTTTTAATACTCAGGGCCTTGTTAATGACATGTCTCAACCTCTAGGGTCAGGGCAGGGTGCCTCTCTCAGGAAAGGGCAAAATAGGTCAGGTGGATTTGAGAAGTAGAATACGGCAGAAGTTATCAACTTTGCATGAAGTACCCTCTTAGGATTTTCTCTCCCCCAACCCTCACTGTGAATTGCTTCCCTCTGAGACTCTCCCTGTGGCTAATTCAGTTAGACACTCCAAGAGATTCCTCTTGCTTAAACAAAGGAGTCCCCGCCCTTAAAAGACTAAAAAAGGCCAGGGTTTGGAGTCCAGCAGGAAGGAGGGCATGGAGTAAAGTTAGGCCTGCTCTGCTCCAAAACAGGAGACACTTTTTTCAGGGCTGAGGGCCTCCTAGGCCTCTTGACCTACTTTTGGTCCAGGGCAGGAACGGTAGAAATCTGGCATGTGTGCTACCACACCCTCTCTGTGCCTATGCCAAGCAATATTTATGGCTTACCACATTCTTTCTGACTTGGGCTCAGATATAGTCTTCTCAAGTCAGCAAGTTGTGACCAATTAAGAGTCAGTCATAGGTTACCAGGGCAAAAGGAATCTGGTGGCCTATATCTGAACCACCTCAGCTTACCAGGGTGAGAGAACACATAAGGACTTAGGGCCAAAGTTCTACCTAGAATTTTCCTATGCTTGAGATGTACTTTCTGCTTAAGATGTCCTAGGAATCCCCAACATTTGTAAGAGCTCACTGAGGGTTCAGAAATTCTGGGTCTTAGAAAAAATCAGAGACAACCACTGGAGATACTCACATCCATGTATTAATGAATTGATTCTTCTCAGAGACTCTGATCCAAGTTATATTAAGAAAGTCTTTTAAAAATAAACCACTGAAAAATTTATTGGTAAGATTCCTACTAGGCATCAAGATACAGGCAAAAAATAAGGAAATGAATACCTCTGTAGCGCTTCATCTTCTTGAAGTTCAAACAATTCTGATGGATTCTTTGAAAAAATAGGAAGTAGGTCAAAAACTGAAGGAAGTTTGACAGTAAAAACTTTGATCTTATGAAGATCTATTAGATAAAACCCCAATATACAAAATTCTGTTTATACTGAAAAACTACAATGCAAGTAATTATGAAAAGAGTTTGCTTGAGTGATGGGTTACTCACATTCATTCACTTAACATTCACTGAGCACTTTACTATGTGATGGGCATGATTTTAAGCACATGGGTTGCCTGAATAAACAAAACGAATATTCTTGTCCTCCTAGAGCTTATAGTCATTGGACTTTTTTTTTTTTGAGACACAGTCTTGCTATGTCACCCTAGGTAGAGTGCAGTGGTGTCACAGCTCATAGCAACCTCAAACTCTTAGGCTTAAGCAATTCTCTTGCCTCAGCCTCCCAAGTAGCTAGGACTACAGGCGTACACCACAACTCCTGGCTATTTTTCAGTTATAGTTGTCATTGTTATTTGGCAGGCCTGGGCTGGGTTTGAACCCACCAGCTCCAGTGTATGTAACCGGCACTCTAACTGCTGAGCTACAGGCTCCAAGCCTGTTGGACAATTTTTAAAAGAAATGGACTCCAGGCTCGGTGCCTATAGCTCAACCGGCTAAGGCGCCAGCCACGTACACCTAAGGTGGCGGGTTCGAATCCAGCCCGGACCCGCCAAACAACAATGATGGCTGCAACCAAAAAATAGCCGGGCGTTGTGGCGGGCGCCTGTGGTCCCAGCTACTTGGGAGGCGGAGGCAGGAGACTCGCTTGAGCCCAGGAGTTGGAGGTTGCTGTGAGCTGTAATGCCACGGCACTCTACCCAGGGTGACAGCTTGAGGCTCTCTCAAAAAAAAAAAAAAGAAATGGACTCCATGAATTTTAAATGAGTCATTCATTAATCCATTATGTATTTATTGGGACTTACAAAGTATTGTGAGCTTCATGCTATGAATAGATGCAGTTCCTGGCCTCAAGGAAATTTAGTTTGTACTTTGAATTTATGTGTAAGTTATAACAGCTATAAATAATGTTTTGTTTTTGAGACAGAGTCTCAAGTTGTCACCCTGGGTAGAGTGCCATGGCGTCATAGCTCATAGCAACCTCCAACTTGGGCTCAAGTGATCCTTTTGCCTCAGTTTTTCTATTTATAGTAGAGATGGGGGTCTAGCTTTTGCTGAGACTGGTCTCGAACTTGTGACCTTAAGTAATCCACCAGCTTTGGCCTCCCAGAGTGCTAGGATTATAGGCGTGAGCCACCGAAACCTGGCCTAAATACTGGTTTTGAGCAGTCAACCACAGATTGTATCTGGCCTAGACATGCTTCTAACTCCTGTATTCAACAAGAGATATTCTTGGTCACGACTACTTACTTCACCAGGTTTTGTTGAAGGGCATAACCATTTTTCCAGCAACATGTCCCAGACTTTTTCCAAATTGATTTCATTGACTTCGGCTATTTCTTTAGCTGCTGCATGAATATCTAAGGTATTTCGGACAAAAAAAATTTTTTTAAAACCTTCAGTTTTTAGTATCAGAAAGGGGAGAATCAAAATGATAGTTCTTTTTGAACCAAAAAAATAAAAACAAAAACAAACAAACAAACAGAAAAAGACAAACCAAAAGGAAGTTTGTCCTCACCGGGATAATCTTTGCCAGATGCATTCTGAATTCTTTGGCTGATGCTAGGATGTTCATACAGACTGACAATGAGATGTGCTGGCTTTCCTATCACTCTTAAATACTCCTCCGTGTTCAGTTTGTGGGCTATGAGCACAGCTTCTGTCCCAGATCGCCGGTACTGGATATGGAGTTTCTTCAGCAAAGCCTCAGCTTTTTGACGCTTTTCATCCTTTTGAAATGTTCCAAGCAAAAAGAGAACCTTATTTTATATATCTCACTTCAGACTAAAAATCCAACTTTACCAATCATGGTCTCACCCTTCCTTAACTGTGTCCTTAAGCATCCACACAAAGCCTTGGTCTTCTGCCTCCATTTCAAGCACCAAGGAAAGAAAAAGCAGCCTAAGCAAGCACTGTGGGAGGCTGAGGTAGGAGGAACACTTGACACCAGCCTTGGCAAAATAGAATGAGCCCACCTCTACAAGAAGTAAAAAAACTAGATGGGCATGGTAGTGCATGCCTATAGTCTCAGCTACATGGGAGGCTAAGATGGGACGATCACTTGAGGCCAGAAGTTTAAGGCTATAGTGAGCTAAATTTGTACCACAACATTAAAGCCTAGGTAAGAGTGAGACGCTGTCTCTAAACAAAAACCAAAAACCAAACAAACTGCTAAGCACAGTGGCTCACACCTGTAATCATAGCACACTGGGAGGCTGAGGCAGGCAGACTGCCTGAGCTCACAAGTTTGAGATCAGCCTGAGCCAGAGAGAGACGTGTCTCTAAAAACAGCCACGTATTGTGGCAGGTGCCTATAGTCACAGCTACTTGGGAGGCTGAAGCAAGAGAATCAATCGCTTAAGCCCAAGAGTTTGAGGTTGCTGTGAGGTGTGACACCATGGCACGCTACCAAGGGTGACAAAATAACACTCTGTCTCAAAATAAATAAAATAAAAATAATAAATAAATAAAATAAAATAAAAATAAATAAATAAAAATGAAATAAACTCAGACACACCTGTGATGGGATATTCCCTAGCCATCTTTCCGCTAAATAAAGGCAGAATTTCAAAGCAGACATCTTGAAGGAACCTAAAAAGTTAAAAAAAAGATTTATAAGTAAATCTATTTTTCTTTTTGGGGGGTAGTTTTGATGGCCAGGAATATAAGTAAATCTTAACTCTTACAGGAAGACATATTTTATGTAAATTAAGAAGTTTTATTTTAATTATAAAAATGCATAGTCATAGTAAAAAAAAAAATTTAAACAGAACAGGACACAAAGTAGATTTTAAAAGCCCACAGAGGCCCTCAGCGGTTTCCATTTTTTAGATTCCTCTATTTCTTCCAGAAGATTTCTCAGAGAGAGAGAGTGATGTGCATACATGTATACATGCACACTTTAACCCAAATGGGATAATACCATACATGTGCTAGTATGATTTGCTGTTCTCACTTTATATCCTGGACATCTTTCAAAATCAGCTACATAATATTCCATTCTAAGAATTTGTCCCATTTTTTAAAACTAGTTCTTTACTGATAAGCCTTTTTGTATTTTTTTTTTTTTTTGAAACAGAGTCTCACTATGTTGCCCTAGGTAGAGTGCCATGGCCTCATAGCTCACAGCAACCTCCAACTCTTGGGCTCAAGTGATTCTCTTGCCTCAGCCTCCCAAGTAGCTGGGACTATAGTGCCCACCACAATGCCTGGCTATTTGTTGTTGCTGTTGTAGTTGTCATTGTTTAGCAGGCCTGGCACAGGTTTGAACCCGCCAGCCCTGGTGTATGTGGCCAGCACCCTAAACCACTAAGCCAAGGTCGCCAAGCCTGATGAGTTTTTTTTTTTAAAAAAAAGAGTTATTTCCCAGGGCAACAGCTTGAGTCTCTGTCTCAAAAAAAGTTATTTTCAGGTGGCGCCTGTGGCTCAGTGGGCCCCATATACTGAGGGTGGCGCGTCTGAACCCGGCCCTGGCCAAACTACAACAACAAAAAAAATAGCCAGGCGTTCTGGTGGGCACATGTAGCCCCAGCTACTTGGGAGGCTGAGGCAAGAGAATCGCTTGAACCCTTGAGGTTGAGGTTGCTGTGAGCCTTGACGCCACAGCACTCTACCAAGGGCAATAAAGTGAGACTCTGTTTCTTAAAAAAAAAAAAAAAAGTTATTTTCAAACTTGTGTTACAACTGAAAATATGGCAATAAGTGCCTGTGTTTGTATATTTATTTGGTTACATAAGCTGTCTAAGGATTTATCACCGAAAGTACAACTGGATGTTAGAAAGTAACACATCACCCTATATTCCCACCACCAAGCTGGGGAGTGCTCCTATCCACACACCCTAACCAGACTGCAGGGAATCCTTTAGCAATACCACAAGTGAGAAAGTGGTACACACATTTTAAAACTCTTGCATCCCTCCTCCTTAAAGACACAAAGAAGTAAGTTTATTTTACTATAATTTTAAAGGAAATATCTTTACCTTCAGGGATATCCTGGGCAAGGCTGATGGCAATAGCCACAGCCCACTCTGGGTTGACTATCGACAGTAAGTAGGATTCGATGGTCTGAGTGATCTTAGTTACTTCCTTGTTAATCAGTGTTGAGGATTTAGCTTGTGTTAACTTAAAGAGCTTCGGTTTCAGTTTTTTCTCAAAAACATGTTTGGCTGTAGACACGTACAGAGTGTCCAGAGAGAACTTCAAAGAAAGGAAAGTTATGGCTCATTTATATGTTCACTTTTAAGATTTTGTGTGAAAGTAGCATAACAGTCTTTTACACAGGGTCAGAATTAATTGTAGCATAAAGAAATGTCTTACAAAATTTTAACCCATTACCTTCATTAATTTAGAAATTAAGAGCAATGTTGGGAAGGATTCTTCACTGAGTTCTGTAGCTAGAAAGAAAATAAGGAGAGTATAATATGCTTAGGAAAAAATATTTGGCTATTCAGTAAAATTCACAAAAAAGTTAATGAACATACAGAGAATTTTCCAGAAGTTCTGTGCTGTGCCAAAGAATATTAGGTGAAAAGGCAGTCTAGTTTGGGCAGCTGATGGCAAAGTTATTACATGTTCCAACATATACTGATATTCTAGGTCCACTGGAGGAGAAATTCTTCTGTATGACTTCAAATGTTTCAGAATATTCAATGCCTATATTAAAATAAAAAAAATGTTTCCTGTAAGAATAACCCAATCCTAGGCTGTCATAAAATCCTTTTTATTTCTTTTGAGACAGAGCCTCCCTGTGTCGCCCTGGGTAGAGTGCCATTGAGTCATAGCTCACAGCAACCTCAAACTCCTGGGCTCAAGCAATTCTCCCGCCTCAGCCTCCCAAATAGCTGGGACCACAGGTGCCCACCATAATGCCTGGCTATATTTTGTCACAGTTGTCATTGTTGTTTAGCTGGCCCGGGCCGGGTTTGAATCCACTAGCCTCGGTGCATGTGGCTGGTGCCCTAACCACTGTGCTATGGGTACCGAGCCCTTTTTTTTTTTTTTTTTTTAAATAGAGTCTTACTATGTCGCCCTTGGTAGAGTGCTATGGCATCACAGCTTACAACAACCACAAACTCTGAGGCTTAAGCGATTCTCTTGCCTTCCAAGTAGCTGGGACTACAGGCACCCACTACAACGCCTGGTTATTTTGTTGTTGTTGTCATTGTTGTTTAGCAGGCCCAGGCCAAATTCAAACCTACCAATCCCAGTGCATGTGGCCGGCGCCCTAACCACTGACATATAGGCACCAAGCGTGTTATAAAATCTACTCTAAACTATTAAAGGTTTCTATTTCTGACATAGTCTTATTTTCATAAAGATGATCAAAATCTTTTCTTAGCCAGGTGTGGTGGCTGGCACCTGTAATCTTAGCACTTGGGGGGCCAACCCAGGCAGATACCTTTAGCTCAGGTATTCAAGATCAGCCTAAGAGTGAGACCTTGTCTTTACTAAAAATAGGAAAAAATTAGCCAGGCATTGTGGCGGGCGCCTGTAGTCCCAGGTAATTGGGAGGCTCAGGCAGGAAGATCACTTGAGCCCAGGAATTTGAGGTTGCTGTAAGCTAGGCTGATGCCATGGCACTCTGGCCCGGGACTACAGAATGAAACCCTGTCTCAAAAAAAACAAACAAAAAAACAAACAAAAAAACCCCACAGAACCAAACCAAACCAAACAAACCCTTTTCTAGTCTCCCCTTATGTTCTTCTTCTAAACCATAATTTATATGATCTTTATGGAAATTATACTGGGCAAAACCAATCTTATTCTGTTGATAAGATGTTTTGCAAACTAGAGTTTGGCATTTTTCTACATGTTCTTCAAATAGTTTGAGATATACTTCAAAAATACTTGATTAAGGCCAGGCGTGGTGGCTCACCTATAATTCTAGCACTCTGGCAGGCCACAGCATGTGGATAGCTTGAGCTCACAAGTTTGAGACCAGCCTGAGTGAGACCCTGTCCCTACTAAAAATAGAAAAACTGAGGCAAGAGGATCACTTGAGCCCAAGAGTTGAAGGTTGTTGTGAGCTATGATGCCACAGCACTCTACCCAGGGCGACAGCTTCAGACTGTCTCAAAAAAAAAACACAAAAAAAAAAACAAAAAAAAAAGTGGTCTAAAAGTCATTCTCCACATCTTTTATCTCCCTTATGTTTTATATTTGTGGGCTTACATAACTTTTGAATCAATCCATTTTCTTTTATTTTCTAAGATCCAATTAAAAAATATAAAAGCTACTATGACCAAAATTCAGAAATGACTAACAAGTACTGAGAATTTTTCAAAAAGGGTATTTTTCCTTTTTTATTTTTTGAGACAGAGTCTCACTTTGCCACCCTTGGTAAAGTGCCATGGCATCACAGCTCACAGCAACCTCAAACTCTTGGGCTCAAGAAATTCTCTTGACTCAGCCTCCTGAGAAACTAGGTGTACAGGTATCTGTCACAACACCTGGCTGTTTTTAGAGATGGGATCTCTCTCTTGCTCAGGCTCATCTCAAACCTGTGAGCTCAGGCAATCTACCCACCTTGGCCTTCCAGAGTGCTAGGATTACAGGCATGAGCCACTGCGCCTGGCGAAAAGCATATCTTATTTTAAAAAATCTGGGGGAAAATACTTTATTTACTTTGAACAAGTTCTGGACCTGTCCTACTAATACACAAAGCTACAAAAACAACAATAATGACAACAAAAAGCACACAAAACTGAATCTACCTCTGAGCCCCACGTCCTTTTCTTCTTGCTAGGTGACAAATAATATTGCCTTACTTCTGGCTCGGCGCCCATAGCTCAGTGGTTAGGGTACTGGCCACACACACAGGAGCTGGTGGGTTTGAACCTGGCCCAGGCCTGCTAAACAACAGTGACAACTACAACAACAACAATAGAAAAACAGCCAGGTGTAGTGGCTCACACCTGTAATCCCAGCACTGTGGGAGGCTAAGGTGTGAGGATTGCTTGAGCTCAGGAGTTCAAGGCTTGTCTGAGTGAGAGTGAGACACTGACTCCTGAAAAAAATTGAAAAACCCAGCTGGGTGTTGTGAGTGCCTGTAATCCCAGTGGCTTCGGAGGCTCTGCTCAGGGCATAGGGTAGAACTTTGTCCAACAACAACAACAAAAAATAAATAAAAAGCTGGGCATTATCCATGGCGCCTGTAGCCCCAGCTACTTGGAAGGCTGAGGCAAGAGAATAGCTTATGCCCAAGGGTTTCAGGTTTGCTATGAGCTGTGACGCCATGGCACTCTATGTAGGGCAACA